TGGTGGGAGGAGACCGCAGGCCAGGTCAGGGAAGCGTCAGCCCTGTGCTCCACTCCCAAGGCAGCCCTGTTTCCTCAGCACTGGCCTACGCCCCTCCTGGCACCTTGGCCAGCCCTGGGTGTTCATATGACTGAACATGGGGCCCAGCACCAAGCCCTCACACAAGCTGCAGGCTGGATCGGCGCAATGGTGCGGCCCTTTGCAGATCCACCACGCCTGGTCAGTCCGATGACTCCTTTGTGAAGAAGGAGCCTTCCCCACCGGCCCGTGTCCGAGAGTGGACGCCAGGAGTTTGGTCCATTCTCTGAGCTTTGGCTCTTGGTCGGCTCACAGACACCAGCTTCTGAATCCACTCTCTGGGCCGTGAAAGGATTCAGCCTTTTGTTCCAGGCGCTAAACAACACCCAGTTATTCGTCGCCTTTATGAAGCCCTGGCTGAACGGAGTGGGCCTTTGATGCTGTGGGGGCTGCCAAGTGGTGCCCGGCAGCCTGACTGATCTGGCATTGTCTCGACTGTGCAGCTCAGGGCAGCCAGCCCGCCCCTCACAGTGACCACGTGGCCAGCTGCCCACATGGCTGGTGATCTGGAGGCCGTCCCACATGCCTGTCTCCACCCTCCCCGGGAGCTCTGCCCACTGGCATCCAGTGCACTGCAAGGTGGCACCTCACTCCCACTTCCCGAGAGGCTTGGGAGAGACCTGAAGGAGGACAGGCCTGGGTGCCCACGTCCACGTCCAGCACAGGCCTCCAGGCCGGAAGGAGCCAGTCCTAAGTTCAGCTCCATGCCCCACCTGTTGGAAAGAGCTCTGGTGGCATAGTAAGTTACACATAGGGCTGCTGGCTGCAAGGTCAGCAGTTTGAAACCACCGACATTGCTCCTTGGGAGAAATACAAGACGTTCCACTCCTCTAAAGAATTACAATCTGGGAAACCCACAGGGGCAGCTCAACCCCATACCACAGAGTCGGCAGCGACCCCAGTTTGGAGTATTTTGAGTCCCACCTGCTGAGTGAGTCTGTTTCCTCACCTGTAAAACAGTGGAGCCTCTGGGTGGCACAAGCAGTTTAACATGATCAACCTCTAACGGGAATTCCCAGGAACCTCAGAAGAAAGGTCTGGCGATCTACTTCTGAAAAATCAACCACCGAAAACCCTGTGAAGCACAGGTCCACGCTGGCACACAGACAGTGGCCAGGGGTTGGGAGTCCTCTCAACAGAAGGGACACATGTGGTAGTTAGGTAATCTGTTGTAAACTTGAGAGAATTAGGAGTGAAGGGGTGAAGTTTAGCCTGTCAATCAGGTCACAGCTTGATGACCTCATTTGGAGCCACCAAGGAGATAAATAGCTCACTGGAGGCAGGACACAGACTCACTCCCTGTGAGACATGCTTGCTGACAAGACACATGGAGCTACACTAGAGCCCTGGAGCTGAAAGAGTCACGTGGAGACACCTGCTCGTGCTGAGATGCCTCTACCGCCACTGGATCCACAAGACTTCCCACCCACTGGCCTGTGATCTTCCTGCATTCAACATCGTTGCATGTGTTTCATGAATCTGAAGAGGAATTTATAGATCGGTGTCGGACACATGGGCTAATATTGGACTTGTGGACTTAATATGGACTGGGCTGTTTTATCAATACAAAATTGATCTTTCATATAAAACTCTTTCTTGTACACATGAGTGTCTCTGAATTTGTTTCTCTAGTCTACCCAGACTAATACCATACTTTTTTTTTTAATTGAATGACAGTTGTGCCATCCACTGTGGTCACGGGGAGGATGGCAGGTGGCTGTGTGTCAGGAGCTACTAATCCTTGACATAGTGCAAGGGTGCACCACACAGTAGGTGTGAGGGCTGTGCATCCGAGGTCTTTGGGGGCACTCCTAGTTGAGGGTTGGGGCTGCCTGACTTTTGATGCATGTCAGCATTAACCAGCAGGGACCATCCAAGGAGCTTCGAGCATCGGCCCTGCCTGGAGTGGTCCCCTGGTGAGGTGGACAGACAATGAGGAGTGTGGAGGCCGACACCCTTCACCGTCCTAGAGCAGGGGTGGGAACCTTTTTCCTGTCCAGGGCCATTTGGCTACTTATATTATTCTCGGGCCATTCTGGCCAAACATTTCATTAACACACATCTCTTTAGTGAGGAGATGTGATGTTAGCTGGTCTCGATGATCCCTCACTCCTGTCCTAGAGGGACCAATAGTCCCAGCACAGCAAAAGGCCAGTAAATGCCCCCTTGGTGGAATGCCCGAGCTGCATCCTCTGGGGTCTGAGATCCTTTTGACCATTGCCCATCAGGCTTCTGAACCCTGCTCCTTAGCGTCGTGGGTTTCCAAAGAAGTAGTGCCCGGGAGACGGGGCCTTTAGCAGGATGGGTTGTGGGTCACCTTCAGGGCAGCTGGGCGGAGACAGAGGGAGCAAACAGGTGTCTGCAGGTAAGGGGGAAGCCTGAGCAAGGTCACTGGAGGTGGGTGGGAATGAGGAGGACCGGGAGGTCTGGGAAGAAGGAAGAGTGGGATTAGGAGAGGGTATTTTTTTGGTTGTTGCTGGGAATGAAACCTTCTCTCTCTCATGAACATCCAATGCAAATGGGATGCAAACCAAATGCACTTCTTATCATTTGGGACCGGGCGCATCTCATGATTGGATCAGGAGGAGGAATGAGAAAGGCACGTTAGAGAACCATCCACAAAGCCTCACAGTGATTCTATAGTTAGACCACTTTGCAGTGAAAAGGAGGACACGAGAAACTCTCGTGTGAGAGTTTCTTTACAGATTAAAATTTTAAATACTAAAAAAAAAAACCCTCTTGGATCTTAAATGAAGTTTCTAATTTTGGAGGGTGGAGTGGTGTGGGGAAGAAACTGTGTCAGCCTCTTTAGCGATCCTGTCATTGACTGCATGGTATGCTAGCATTTGCTGGATCCCTGGTGGCACTGTCAGGTCAGCATTGGGCTGCTACCCACAACTTTGGTTGTTCAAACCCACCAGCTGCTCCACAGGAGAAAGATGAGGCTGTGTGTTCTCATCAGATTTACAGCCTCGGACACCATTTACAGGGTCATTACGATTTGGAATGGATTCAATGGCTATGGGAAATAATTTTATTGGAACAACAAACCAATTAACCCCAAATCTCCTTGATCAATAATTGATGGTAAATTTTGCTAAGCAGGCACCAAACTTCTTTTCATTTCTTCATTTGTAGTTCAATTTTCCCAGCTAAATTTCCAACCAAATCTCCTGCTCATACTTACAATGAAACTGTGGTTGTCTTACAAGGACTGGAGGAGCCCCAGTGGTGTACTGGTGACGCTTTGGGCTGAGAGCCCCATGGTCAGCAGTTCAAAACCAGCAGCAGCTCTGAGGGAGAAAGATTGGGCTTTCTACTCCCGTCAACAGATACAGTCTCAGAAAACCTCTGTCCTGCTAACTGTCACCACTAACTCGATGGCAGTGAGTCTGGTTTGTTTGTTTAATTGGCTGAAGAGGATTGATTCACTTAAAGAAGTGGCCCTCTTCTGGTTTCAATTATCTTTGGACAGTGAAGGACTCCAGGATCCACAGGGCCCCCAAAGTGGAGGGGAAGTAAAATGTCAACTAGGTGAGCCTCTAGCTGAGGTCTGAACCTTTGCTCGCTACCGGTCAGCCCAGCAAGAGGTTGTCGGTCTCTGTCCCCATGACCCCATGGTGGGAGCCAACCACATTTTGAGGAGCCTGGTCTGGCGTGTCCCATCGTCGGAGTGTCATTCACTTCTCTGAACCATGGGACGAGGGAACAGTTTATAATCGGGATGCTGGACTGTCAGGAGGAGTCCTGGTGGTGCATTTGTTAAACGCTTCGCTGCTAACCAAAAGATCGCCAGTTCAAACCCAGCAGCTGCTCCGTGGGAGGAAGCTGTAGCAGTCTGCTCCATTAAAGGGTATCGCCCTGAACATGCACAGGCCAGTCCTGCCCCGCCCTACAGGGTCTTCGTGAGTGGGAACTGACTTGATGGCAGTGAGTCTGGGTTTTGTTGTTGCTGAGCTGTGAGGGGGAGTCTCTGGGGGTTCCAAATGGTTAAGCTCTGGACTACTCGCCCAAAGGATGGGTGATTTGAACCCATCCAGGAGAAAGGCTCAGGACTCGGCCTCCAGCAGATGTCAGCCATTGAAAACCCAACGCAACCCGGTTCTCTTCTTCACGCTCCGGCCCCTGTGCATCGGGGGTCTGGGCTGTAGGGCTCCTCACTTGGGGACTTTCTTCCGGCTCATTACAGATCCTTCCACATCAGAGGCCCCAGAGCTGAAACACAGCTCCTACCAAGGGGGAACCCGCTTTCCACCCCCTTGCTCTCTCCGGGTAGCCTGGTCTCCTCCCTCTGCTATGCATGGCCCGAGCAGATTCTAAGACCAGTGTTTCAGCCCCATTCCCAAGCGGCCACCTGGCCCACAGCGCACAGACCCCCCTGCCTGGGACATTGCTCGCCCGCTTTGCAAAGAGCGTACCGGACTTTCTCGTGGATCTGTGGCTACACATATCGGGAACACAGACCACGTTGTCTCGAGGGCAGAAGGAAGGAGCTGCCAGGCTGGCACTTGGCAGACAAAGCTCTGCCGTTCTGTACAGATGGTACCTGAGCACCAGGCCCCCAGGGGACCCGTCGGCAGGCCCTTCCGTTGCTGTGCTGTTCTAGCATCTCAGAGGCCCAGGCACACAGCTGATGCTGGCGTGGGGAGGGCGGGCACCCCGGGCACCTTGCTATTGAGCAGAGAGGGTGACGTTTGGGTGGAAGGAGACCCTGCCTGTGCTCTCAGAGGGCGGGCACGGCCGGGCTCGTGCGGTGCCCTCTGAACTGCTATTGGATGTGGCTCCCTCGGAGTGCATGTAAGCGAACGGCCCGTCAGAGAGCAGGTGGAAAAGATGGCGTCCCTGACGCTGGGGCATGAACCCCACCTGCCGCCCCACCACCCACCACTGTACCTCCACAAATGCACAGAATACAGAGAAGCTTGGTAAAGGATTTCAGAGGCGTATCACACGGCACCGTGGACACCGCACAGGTTTATTGGGTGAGTTTTCAGCCCTGTGGCCAGCAGAACCCCCAGGAAGACGTACAAACACAGCAGAGGGCTGGGGGAGTGGGGGTGTGGGGTGTGGGTGTGGTTGGCTCCAGAATGCCTGTGGTCGGATGGTTCTCCCGAGCAGGTGCAAGGGCCAGTTGGGTAGGGCGGGAAGTGGGGGCTCTTTGCATTATGGTCTCTCCCATTACTGGTTCCCCACTCCCCCCCCCTATGGGGCTCCCTTTCACAAGCAGAAAATGACCCCAGAGAGACAGATGAACAGTGGGAGGTACAACAGGGTCAGCCCCCAGCGCTGGACGTGAGGTGCGTGGGAGAGTAAACACGTTCACACCACAGCAAGCAGAATGATGCGGTTTTTTTTTAAGTCCCCCCACCCCCACATCAAGAGCATTCCTGCATGCTAAAAAGTTCTGCTGGAAGGCTGGCCAATCAGTTAACACCGTCTGGGCTTTCAGCTAAAATTCTTCCGCTGCTTTATGAAGACTTCCATCTGATTAAAGAAAACACTGCGTGGATCACGTACAGCAGAGTGGCTACGTATGCAAACACCTGAAACCAAGACAAGTGACCATTAATGAAGGTTGACCCCGGGGTCTCCACACGGCCGACCACTCAGCCCCACGGTGCTGGGGGGGGGCCGGTCGACAGCCCGAAAATGACCGGAGTGCTAAGACTCCCCACCGGTCACTGCAGACATCCTTTCCTCCAGATCCCATATGTCCCCAGGGGCCCCAGGGGCCGGATTATGTATTGGGTTCTAACTGTGCGATAGAAGTGGGTGTCCTTTCTCATCATACGGCATTATGTGGGGCCAGCCAACTGGCAGAAGTCCAGCCGGAATGCTCCTTAGAACTGAGGGTGCCAAGACTTCCTCTCAGCTACTTTGGACATGTCATCAGGAGGGCCCAGTCCCTTGGTAAAGTAGAGGGTCGGTGACAAGGAGGGAGACCTGCATGAGACGGACTGACACAGTGGCTGCACACAGCAACAAGGATGAGGGGCTCAGCCTGGGCAGGGTTTTGATATGTGTTGGGGTCTCTACGAGCTGCCAGTGACTCACCGGCACCCACCAACGAGGCCCCTCAAGTAGAAGGATCTAAACGAGTCTTCATGAGCTTCCAGGGAAACCTTCCTTCCCCCACACCTAGGAGGCCAGTGTCCACTGCCCCCCCATCCTTAGAAGCTGAGATCCCGGGGACCCCAGCGAGGAGAAGGCAGACGCATGGGTTTCCTGGCTGGTGTGACAGTCTCGATGCTCCTGGACATCCCCAGCCCTCCTTCTGGGGCGCTTCATTTCACAGGCGCGGGCCAGGGAGCCGGGTCCTCACACGAGGTGATGGGCAGGGAGCGGGAGGGGAGATTTTAAGCTCTTACCAAAGGAATGGGGCTTGCTGGGAGCACTGTGGGGAAGAGTCAGTCACCCAGGCAGGCACTGGAACAAAGGCCTGGGAAAGAGGCGAACCGGTCGTCGCGTGGCCTGCTGGGCCCGGACAGGGTCTTTACACCTGACCACTATCTATTCCCATTGACCCATTCTGGCTGCTGGGTCTCGATCCAGGCTTGCCTGCTCCCCAGTCAAACACCCACACCTGGTTTGGCGACCTTGGGGTGTGGGGTCAAGAGTTTACAATCCAGGTGCAACCTGTAGGGTGGCTATGCTTCCATGACTCTTGGAAATGCCCATCAACACCAGCTGGGACCGTGCCTGCCCTCCCCCTGCCCCCCCACGGGAGCAGCCACAGCCCTCCCTGGCCAGAGGCAGCAAGTAAGCCGGGTTATTGAATAACCAATTTAGGAGCCTTCATCTGGAACACACAAGCGCCCCATCTGAAAGGAATGGTTGTACGTGAGCAAGCAGTCCCCCAGATGTACTGCCCATAAAGTGCCCCCCCCCCTGTCGGGGGGAGCAGACCACTGACTGGAGAATTCCAGACTTGAGCACAACCATGGGAGAAGGGACCCCTGCTGTGGTGCCCCAAAGTGCTCGGAGGGGGGCAGGAGGGGGGCAGAAAGCTGAGACTTGTTTTCCAAGCGTGGTCCAGATAGGACAATGGGGACTCTTAGAGCCGTGGCACGAATGGGAACACTTTGTTCTTCAGAACCCCGCTCCCCTAAACTGCTGCCATCCTGGCCCACCGGGGTCACACCCTCCAGAAGTCTCCAGCCCCCCTCAGTTAACCTGCACGAATCCTGGAGGCCCCTTTGGTGCGGAAGCACTGGGCTGGGCAATAGAGACGGGGAGAACCTCGGCTCTGAGCAAGTCCTCCTCATGGGATGGAATGGGCAGGCCAGAAGCTTCCACGGGCCAGGGGGTGGTGGGAGAAGGGAGGAGGTTTTGAGGTGCCTCCCCACACCCCCTGGATTGGCCACCAAGACCGGCTGAGGGCACTGGGGGTGGGGGTGGGGCAGGATGTGGGGTGAAGTCTGGGGCAAACCTGACTCCTGCCCTCCAAACGGAAACAGCTGGTGTTTGGAATGGAAAGACGTGACTCTACTATGAACTCGACTCCTATTTCACCTTGGTGGTTCCAACCCAATCCTTCTGCCTGCTGAGCACATCCGAGGCTGGATCCTGGCACTCCTGACCCTGCACGGGCATGCTCCCACACACCCAACTTCACTGACAAAAATGTGGGGGAGGCACAAGCCGTTGTGAACGGGTCAACCGGTGACGGTGTGCTCAGACAATGCAACAGATGCTGGGGAGCTGAATAAAGGAAGGGCATCTACAGCCAACAGCATGGCGGCAGCTCACCAACACAAGGCCGAGAGACAAAAATGCCAGGCACGGAAGAATGCACCCTGTGCCCTTCCATTCCCGGCGAGTCCAGGAGCGAGCAAGAGGGCTCCAGGTGGAGAGACACCAGGACCGTCGTTGTTCTCGGGGGTGCCGGGGGTGCACGGTGAAGCATGACAAAACTCGAGGGGTCGTCTGGGTGCTGCTTCTCCTCTCTGAGGAGGGGCTTCACAAAGCTT